TCCAAGAGTGTCCTGGAAGAGCAAACTATTTCTATTGCATTGAAATAGAAAAATCAACCTCAATCAAAATAGCAACAGAACTCATGGAAAGAATATGAATCCAGGTACAAAGCAAAGCGGGTAGCCCTAGTAGGCAAAGGAAGGCTTCTAGGAAGCAAGTCACATAGAGAAAAGGCACGGTCAAGCCTGGCCTTCCATGCTTTTAAACTGTAATGTCTATAAATAAAAGACATACTTCTTTGAACAATAGCTTGAACGAGTTACAGTGTCATTTTATCTTCCCAGATAGCCATCCATTCTATTCTGGCTTCAGCTGGTATCTGCTTTCATGACATCAGCTGCTAGCTGGTGGGGTGAGGTACAGGGGCAAATCTGAGTTAGAAGCACAGGGACAGAGGTCAGAAGGTGATCCGAGCTAGAGCACAGATAAGGGAAGTGTGTTCAAGCTGTGCTGCCGCCGCCTCTTTTTTTAAAGTCAGTTGCTAATATAAGTCTGCTTAGCTGCAAAAAGCTCCGGAGGACTGATCTTTGTCGCTCGCAGCTACGGCAGCCCCAAGCAATAGCTCCTTTCATCTGGAAGAAATTACATTTTAAAAGTAGAGGGCTTTTCTATTTTCTCACAATTTGTAACAAGGAGAACAGTATCTGAACCAATAAGTGCTCAGTAAACATTTTACATTTAACTACCCTGCCCCCCTCCCCTACTGCCACTTGTCAGGTGCTCTGGTATGGAGCTGACTCTCCCACATTGCTTTGCTGTTAGCTGTGGAATCGGAGTCTCCTACCTGGGAAGGGTGTGCTCTGCCAGAGCTCCGCCTTCAGCCCAGACCTGGTTTTAACTGAGGGGTTAGGTGAAAGACATAAGCAAAAGTCTAGAACATTTTGCCACAGATACAAATAAATCAGGTGGGAGAGAATGATCCACAAAAGCCATTTTTCCTATGTGGTCTGAGCACTAACTCCCTGGGCGGGAGATCCTAGTCCAAGGTGTCGGTTCCAGAAGCAAGTGGAAGACTGGGCTCTTCACTCTAAGAGGGAGGTTGGAGAGACGGCGGTCTCTGTTCCCTCTCCTCTTCTCGGTCTCTGGGGTCATTTCAGTTCATATTCTGGCTCATGAGTTTTTTTTCAGGATTTGTTTTTTTTCTTTCTTTTTCCTTCACTACCTCCACCTGTTTGTGCTTCCTGTTTATCCCATCTTCCTCAAAACAGAAAAAGAAGAGGAAGAAGAAGGAGAAGAAGAATGTCATCCTCTTCTCAGAACTCCAGCTGAGTGTGCAGCAATGGAGCAGGCAGTACACAGCTGCTTCTCACTTCTGCAATCTGTGCCATGCATTCCTGGAAGAGCGGCCTGTCTGGAGCTGAGGACATCTATGCCAGCTAACTTGACTGGGGTGCGGTGGGCAGAGGAAAGGAGAGAGGCAAGGGCAGGGCATCCAGAGTGGAATCCTGCTTCGGTGCTGCCTCTTAGCACAAAGGCTGACCCAACTGTGTTCTTTCTCTTCTTAAAAGCAGGTTTAAAGTTATTTATAAAAAGTTAGGCTATCTAGCCTGAAGACATCTCACATGACCCCAGAGGGCCTCCCTGATATACTTTACAGCACGATGTCACCTTTCTCCTCTTTCCTGGCCCTACATCCCCTTCTTGCTCACTATCAGTGAGGATTACCTCCCTCTGCTGTGCCCAGCAGCTTATCTGGATTTGCATTTGGATCCAAAGCTAACTAACTGCTCACTGACTGCAGGCCCTCCCTATCCCAGCTCTTCCAAGACACAGCTCTGCCCATTAGGAGGCATCTTTGAATTATTCTTTCCTTTAAGTGAATTAGGCATTTAACGAAATTATTCTCACACCTATCACTCAATTAGAGTGTGGACCACTTTGTTCTGTATAAGGGATGGAGAGCTGCTGATGCTGGCAGCTATTCACCCCTAATTCACTGAACTCCCTGCCTTCGGTGTGTGTTTCTCTAGCTCTGATGCCATGAATAATCATTCAAGTTTTTGTAAGTGCTAATCACTTATGACCTGTTTATATACTCAGGGCTACTGGCTCCCTTTCTGAGCTTTGAGTTCTTGGTTTCCCTGTTGATTCTCAGCTTCACCACCTTCTGCGTCCAGCTCCTTTCCTATTTCTGAAAAGCCAGTGTTCTCAAGAGTTGCAGGTTCAAATTGTCTGCTCTTTCATTCCGCATAATCTTAGAACACTTCTCGGAAGAACTCTCTCTGACACCAACTGTCCTACTCGTCTGTTCTCAAAAGTCTGACGGAGGCACAGACTTCTGGATGTGGGTACTAGCCTTCCATCAGATCACCTGGACGTGGGTACTAGCCTTCCATCAGATCTCCTGGAC